GCTACGTTGACGTCTTTTACTAGTCGCAATGTTGACGTCTTTTACTAGTCGCAATACTGACGTCTTTTACTAGTCGCTACGTTGACGTCTTTTACTAGTCGCAATGTTGACGTCTTTTACTCGCCAAAACGCTGACGTCTTTTTCCAGTCAGACCACTGACGTCGTTTACTTGTCAGGGTGCTGACGTCTTTTGGCTTTGCATATACGACTCAAAAAAGACATTAATAAGACGTCAATATTAGACGTCTTTCAGACGTCATAACGACGTCTCGTGCCCACTGGGTCGGTTCTGTTTTGGTCAACCAAGCCGGCACGACCACAGCGCGACAACTGCCCACAGCCGTCGGGTGGGTTGATGCCGTCCCAATTCCCGTCCGCGGTCTAGTCTCCATCTCTGGTGCAACTCCAGCCCCAACACGACAGGCCAAAAGAACACACGTGGACCTTCGGGTTCTGTCAGCTCCGCACCACTGACTTGTGTGAGGAGCCGAGTGGCTCCATTGATTCCCGTGTGGAGCCCATCAAGAGGCTCCGCGCCATTCGCATAAGTGCGGAGCGGCCCTATTGGCTCCACTCCATTCATTCCTGCGCGGAGCCCATACCCAGACTCCACGCCGTTCACTTGCATGAGGAGCAACTCCACGGGCTCCGCCTCCATGGCTCTTGCATGGTTGACTTCCGAATGGAAGCTGGGCTTCGACACACTGTGAGTTGGCTGAGGACTTCAGTGGTGCTGAGAGAGGTCCCCTCTGTGTACCGTATGGCATGTACATGTATGGTGGGGCGTCTTCAAATGGGTTCCTGCCCTACTACAGGGGCTGCCACAGCCTGTGGGCACCAAACGTGGGATGCATGCCGCTGCAGTGACACCCACGGCTTGACTACGTTCCGAATGGAACGGAATGTCTGCCGTGATGCCATCTTCAACATGGGGCGGTTCCTTGAAGGCCCTGACACTAGGTGAACTGACAAAAACATCGTCGAGTGTCCCGAAACTAAGCCCCGCTCCTGCTGCATCGAAAGGCGCACCACTACAATGTTCCGACTGAAACATAATGCTTCGCCGCCGTCTACAGCATTTGGCAGTTCTCTGGGGGACACAGCATGTACCATGTATGTGCAAACGATGCATGGTATGTCGCTCAACTGTCTGACCTGTCTCACGGTCGCTGCTTCCTTTCTGCCAACATCTTCCAGAGTTTTGTCGAACTCGTTGAAAAAGGAGTCCAGTCCGTCAAAAGTGATAAGGTGTCTTTTCACCAGGCTGGTCCTTGAAAATGAAATTGAGTTCATAAAAAGTGATGAACGGCATTTTCATGCCCACTAGGCTGACCCACAATATCTGAGGCCCTATTCCATCCTCGCCCAGTGGCGAGTCGAATGCCAGACCAACGTGACTCGGGCTGTACATGCCGAAGAAACACTGAAAAAAATTCACCTGTCTTCTCCGTCAGCGTGCTGCCGCTGCCACCGATGTAATGTCAATTGCCCCATGGGTCTGTCTACAGCCGACAAAAGACACTGTGAAGGCTTCTTTTCGGTTTTTGTGGCTCTCAGCTGTTTATTATCACACCGTCACTCCTGTCTGGCATCAACTCCAGAACACCCCCCCCCAAAAAAGTGCTTCCAAAAACACTACTGCGCAGGCGTCGCGGCAACGGGTCTCCAGGGCTGACCAGTAGGGGCCCACCACACGGCTCTACCGTGGATCCGTGCTAGCGCCCCCATTGGTCATCCGACACTGACGCTACAATACTAATACACCAGAATAATACACAAGAATACGGCCAAACCCTAAAAATCAACCTCGAAGGGTGCTCATTAGCTTTCATCATCATCACTCAGCATTACCCGCTAAAATGACAAAACACAACAGAACAGAGTCTGTTCTTTTGACGTCACAGTCGTGTTTTTTCCTACAGGTAGCTGCTAAAACTACGGCTGGCCGTCGACACAAAAGTGAGACAATAATTCACAAAGTGTTCAAAAATCCCACGCAGCTATTAGAACGCGAGATAATAATACATGTACTCGTAACCCTATTCAAAATTAATGGGACTGACACCAATTTGAACGAATTTGAGATAAAATCGAAAACCAACCAAATAGTGATATTTCTGCAAAGTCTTGCCGCCCATACAAGCTGTCGGTAAAGCGAGAGTGGTCTAATGTATACTCTCCCTAGACCCTATGTGATACAATAAAATCAGCACCCAGGAATGAAATCACCATTCAATCTTAGTGAAGGTCAGGGACCACAGCCTTGCTTTTCGGGGCTGAAAATATCATGCGCGGATCCAGCGATGGGGGCCGAACCCCCCCCCCATTTAAAAAAAAGAACAAAATGAATGGTTAAATGATCAAAAGTAACTGAAATGCACCAATACCACTGTAAGCAATGTATGTCATGTATGTTTCATCATCGTTTCTGCTTGTCCGCAAAACTAGACATTAAAAAATCTCCAGCCTGAACCTCCCCCCCCCGTGAAAAATTCCTGGATCCGCCCCTGGATATTTTAGTCATCGCAAATAGGTTTACCTATATTCAACGGCAGTGTAATAAAAGTCTACATTCAAAAAGCTCATGACGAGGGGAAAGTCTGACAACATCTCTGGTCTCACAATGCAATGGACTGTCTATGAGAGCTTTGTTCATTTTATTCCACATATATATATTCAGTGTTTATGCAATTACAAATATGCCAATAAAATTAGTAAAACCAATCTACATGGATAGTCCTCACACTTTATTTCCATGCAACTCGTCATTGTTTTCATGAACAGACACGCTTGTCAAAATGAGAAAAAGCTATTTCGATTTTTCTTACTATTTAGCTTTAAAAAAATAGCATGGTACTTTCAAACCATTTTACGTTCCCAGGAGCAGGCGTCTCGATAATTGCATTTTGCTTTTTCACAAAGAAATGCAAACATTCCTACCCCTTGAATACATACCAACAAATTGCCCAGAATGGTGCAAAAGTAGGCCAACTGAGATTTTCATTTCCAGAAGGGACAGGCATTTTTGTTACATTCACAGCTGCTTGAACAGATGGATTTTCCTTTTCACAAGGGGACAGAGATCTTCATTTTGGCTCATTAACCACTGTGTTCATTCTTGTCACTTGTTTCATGTAAAGTTTACTTTTCGGATAATAATGTGAAAGTTTCCTTAATGCATAAAGTTGTTGCAAAGTGGTACTTTTTGCAGTTTTAAACAGGTAAACCTTCTTGTGAGATTAACTCGAAAAGTTTTTTTTCAATATGCCTGTCCCTTCGTGCAAAAGGTGACGAAATTGCCTTTTTAAAAATAAATGAAAACATTGTGAAATTCAGAGGTTGACCAAGTTGCAGATTTCTATTTGACTTCTGGTCCCACTGCCTCGTAGTTAAGCTTTAACCCAATGTTTTAATAGTAGTAAATCAAACTGCACCTCCATTTCTCCGATACCAAAACTAACAGTATTAAAACATTTACATTTTGGGCTTTTTATCTAACCTTTTATCAAGATTCAAGTTGCCTTTTTACTATGTTGCTTTTTAGTTTTCTTGATTGTAAATTTAAATTTTTTGTAATGCTGTTTTCACTTTAGCCACAGGGCTGCAAAGACAGTGACCAATAAATAAGATTTGAATGCGTTATCCGCTCTAACATCTAACACATTCAGAAAGAGGTGGCAAAGGCATATTACATACAAAATGATGCCTCCAGTCTATCAACAATTACATGTACGCTCATTTCAAATGTCAAATACACCTTTTCCTTCACTACATCATGAACGGAAAATATCTCTACTTTCACGAGGAAGAGTTTCAAATTGGGCAGGTCCAGCATTTACAAAGAGAGGGAACCCAGAGTTTACAAAAAGGTGGTGCCTGAAATGGAGGTGAGTCTGAATACAAGTGGAGGTGGAGAATATTTTCAGTAAGACTTGCTGTATTTTAAGTTGTTAAATAACCGATTCAGGGCAAACAAATAAGGGAAATGTGTCTCCCTTTAAAAAGGGAGTGAGGGAATGAGCCGGTTGAGTCTCTTTGGATCCGCCACTGGTTTAATGCCGCTCATTGTCAGCTTTCCCCTGGATACAAATGGCACCACTGCTCGATGGCAAACTTGGTGCCTGTGCTAATCCTCTCTGCATCTTTGCCAGTAGAGGGTGCTGTTTCAAACAGCACCGAGGTGGGGATATCATGCTGGACTTGTTCATGAGTGCTGGGATGGATAGCTGTCGCTCTGATAAACAAAGGTGAAAAAAAAGCCTTGTTGACTGGTGTGAAACGACAAAGAGCACGTGTAGTCTTGAGAGTCTTGGGTTTAATGAGAAGAAGAGATTTGAACAACAGTAGAATTTAGAATGACGTTGCAAGAGAGAAACATAAACACTGAAAGAGCTGGGTGCGGCACTTGACATTTTAACTGATATCATTGCATGGAATTTTTCTTTCCTTGCTGAGCCTTCAGGAGTGTTTAATAAGTAATATCTTGCAGCCATTTTGACACTAATTTTGTGTAATAAGACATACTGTTCTTGTTAAATGCCTAGTTTTCTGAGAAAGTTACCCAAAAATGTAAACTTTTCACTTTTACAAATGTACGACAATGAACTTCAAATGATGGTAACACTAAAACCACTTTGTGTGATTAAATTGAGCTTCACAGATGTACTTGGGACGACTGTATTTACATGCATGCCAAGTTTCAACCCTTAAAATGGCTAAAAAAGCCTGGCTCTTTCAGGTTTGAAAATAACAGCATGGACAATAGTAGAGATAGAGATAATCCAATGATGATGCTTTTATAAATAGTGGTGATATTACACCCACACTATGGCCTCGGACCCAACTATACTTGGAGAATAGTTAGGACTGGTCAAACTATAGTTTGGACTGGCCCAACTATAGTTGGGGCCATGGCCATAGTTGGGGTGAAACAATAACATAAAGATGAAGACTACAGTTGTAAAAGTGTCCATCGAATGATGCATGACTGCCTTTGTCATTGCCCGTATGAACAGCCTGTGCCTCGACTTGAGACCAAATGACTCGTCATGTCTAAACTTGACTGTGTCACTGATGGGAACAGCTGATATCAATCAGTGTAAGTTAGAGGTGACAGGTCATGATGGTTGTGAGGTGATTACTGTGACAACTGTGACAATTTATGAAAGTGGTGGTGACTCTAATGACAGCCATAACAATAATGCAATTGATGTGTTCAAGTGAATACTGTAGTGATGGTGTCTTGACAATTTTTGAAATGGTTGTGATGCTGTTAGGTGATGAAACTGACCATGGTGTCATTGATACTCATGATGCTGTTGATAATGTCAGTACGGTGGTGACAACTGGTGGTGCTGGACAGGATAATGACCGCGGTGATATTGACAGTGATTAAAGGTGACAATAATGAAAGCAGTAGTTCTGCTGCTAATCTCAATTGTGACAGCTACAGCTAATAATGACCTGATAAACTTGGGCAGGTCATCGGGCAATCCTCTTCCATCATTCTCATCAGACCCCCTACAGCCAATGGCACGGACCATGCCCTCACTCAGCCAGACAGCGGCCCCGACCTCGCTGACTTGGAGCCTGAGTTGCTGCTGCAATGCATGATGGTCCTCCGACACCTGCACTGTCTGGTAGGTGACTACATGGTGGCGTACTGGCAGTCCATGGGACAGCATTGGTGGATAGGCAGACTGAAACACCCCCCCCAACAAAACGTAAACTTTGTATACCAATTTACTAGCAAGAATGTATGCAGGTTCTGACAAGGTTTCCAGGTAAATACATGTACACTGCCACCGCACTAGCAATTTAAAAAATGCCTGAAATCCTCCAACTCCAGAAATTACGTCCTTGTGTAATGATGCATATACCATCAGTAAAGAAAATTAACAATTTTAATAGAGAAATTGCACAGAACTTGTTTTGAAGACACAGCAAGTATATATCTAGCCAGAAGCTATTTCTAGAGAAGAATACAGTCATTTCTCAATAGAAGAAACACTTTTATAAGAAAATATTGCTGTAAAGAGCACAATCTGAGAGACCTACATGTAATTTCTTGAATTTTTGTGTTTTCTGTGTTTTTCTACTCCTTTCATGACAAAGTCCTTGTTATAACAAAACAATTTGTCTGGTCCCTGTAACTTTGTTATGACGAAAGTAGACTGCATATGATAATATCATAAGCTTTGCCAGGATTGCCAACAGCGCTCATCGGCAGCAAACTGAAAACCATTAACAGTTAAAGGAGGCAATTCCGAGGCATTTCAAAGGAAATTTTTGCTTAATCTCCACTCCTCCTTTTCTTTTGCTTTTTTTTTTTTCTTTAATTTTAGCTTTTTAACAGCGGCTCTCACAACGCCCAGACATACTGCTGCTGTATTCATCTCTATGACCTGACTGAAATCCAGTGCTTATTTTTCTCAAGCAAACCATCAGTTAACTTTTCCTGGCATCTACTGACCTCCCAGAGTGCTATGGTCTGTGTTTGTTGGCAGTCTGCCACTTTCAGTTCCAGTCCCGTTTCTTCCTTCAACTCTCTCAAACCGGCCTCTGTCAGCTGACCAAACATTTAGCCTATCAGTCCAGTGGCTTCATGCATGAACAAGAAATGGTGTGTTTCTACACAACAAGAAGTTAGGGGCAAGCCACTGCATTGGGCATGCAGGTTCGTCCACACAAGGAACGAGGCAAGTTTGACCAATTTTGTTATATTTGGAAATGTACAATCTCTGCGAGAGTGCAAGGCATCTAGTTAAAACCATTATTAACTTCGCTATCTTATCTTTGCTGGGAGGGCGTATCTCCCAGGAGTTGATTGAGGTGTGCACAGCTTGTCGCCCAAAAAAATAGTGCAAACACTGCCAGTCTGATTGCTAGACCTGTGACAAGATGTGCATTTCACCAAGGAGTTGGCGACAGCACTTTGCGCTGAAACACGCTGCGGGAGCAACCCTTTTTACCCTAAAGCAGCACTAACTCAATTTTGAAACTTGTGTTTAACAATGGGGCATATTTCGGGATTGCCAAAAGCAACTACGAATAAAAATAAAGTAAAAGTATCATCAAGCCAAGAGGGTCCTCTTTAAAACCATGCAAGTTGTAAATACCAACAGTTGGCATTTTATGTTTGAAAAGGACAGTATTTGCTTGCACCATTGTGGGGGACACACCATAGTTCCAAGGGAGCTCAGGTAATTCCAGCAATGCTTGACAAGCCTGATCAGCAGATATAACATTGTAGCACTTCCAACTAATTTGACTGCATCAGCTGGTTATGACCAGGAGCTGCACAGGCACAGTCAAGTGGCTGTAGCCAATGGCCCCGTAAGCAAGCGTTATTTTCAAAGCCACAACTGTTGCTTTTACAAAGAAAAAATGGGGCTTACTGTCTCATTCAACTCAGCGTGACCCCCAGGCGGCACCCAGACGCCTGGGAAGGTCTTCAGGTGGGTTGCCCGTCTCGTCAGGAGCAACTTGCGATCTGAGGACCAGAGGAGGGTGGCCACCCCGACGTCAATCCCACGATGCAGTGTACTGTCTGGAATGTCAGCCACTTGGTCTGGGAGAAGGTTGTGCAAAGGACAAAATGGTGGATGCTGTGAAAGGACAATGGGGTGGATTACAAATTAAGTATATTGTTCAACAAGGGCTAAGCATGTTTTCTTTATACTGGTAAGTTAGTGAAAGAAATCAATGCAAATGAGCTGCAGTGTTGTAACGAGTCACTAAATTTGGTGACTCAAGTTGAGTAGAATCATTTTAACATTGTGACTCAAGTTGAGTCAAGTCATTAGGTCAAGAAGTCGAGTCAAGTTGAGTCAAGTTCCAAGCTCAAATTTTTGAACAAAATATAATAAATACAATTGACATAAGAGCAGTGCCATGTGTCCAACTTCAAATGTATTTTTTTTGGCAACAAAATTTTGGTTTTAATTTTTTTTAGACAGTCTTACAAGCTTATACTTGAATCGAGTCTCCCTGAGAGATTTGAAGCGAGCCATTAGGTTGTAGAGACTTGAGTCAACTCATTTACCTGTCAGGACTCAAGTCAATCTCCCTGAGAGATTCAAGTCGAGTCATTTGGTTGTAGAGACTTGAGTCAAGTCATTTACGTGTCGGGACTCAAGTCAGTCTCCTGTCGGGACTCAAGTCAGTCTCCCTGAGAGATTCAAGTCAAGTCATTTGGTTGTAGAGACTTGAGTCAAGTCATTTACGTGTCGGGACTCAAGTCAGTCTCCTGTTGGGACTCAAGTCAGTCTCCCTGAGAGATTCAAGTCGAGTCATTTGGTTGTAGAGACTCGAGTTAAGTCATTTACCTGTCGGGACTCAAGTCAAGTAAAAAAAATGTGACTTGAGTCGAGTCATTGACTTGAGTCATTACAACTCTGATGAAGTGCAGACAGTCATAGTTTTCCTAAAGCTGAGATAGCAGACTGACTATAGCATAGGTCTTATAAGTGACCAATTATCAACCACTGGTCATATGTGCATTTGCCTGGTAACAAGGACATAGTTTGTGCTTTAGTTGCCATGCCAATTTGTTCAGTGGTGACCAAATGGTCACTTAAATGTCAGACTTGACCACAAAAGTGGGTGAAGTGTTACATCACCTACCGAAAAACAGTTATTCATTTGCAAGGAAGTTTCCATCCGTTGCCACATGTTCAACCATTCAGAAGTATTAAGCATCAAGAAGTTTGCAAAGAACACTAGATTCTTTGATGTAAATGGCCAACCCCCGATTGAGACATGTTTAGAATCGCTGAATGCCAGTGTGGACAGAGATGGCAACATTTCTCATTATAGAGCATGGGCTCTACGTGCTCAAGTACCCCTCCACTTGGGGGAAATGAGACATGCAATGTTAGCACTGCACCTTTGTGTTAATGCCATTGTTGGGCAAAATCAGTCAATCTCTACGCGACTCCTCAATCTTGTCTGTATTCATCTTCAGACAACTGTCTTTTCCTTCTCATTCACATTGCGGAAGATCGCTCGAGGATTTCCCACAGGATCGACTGATAGCACAGAATGCTTGCACAGTTGTGCTAATCAGCAGACTGCACCTAACACCATGATGTGCCCGATGCCCATGCAAACCCACTTGGAAGAATTCATTGTATCAGCTGCAAAAGATGACCTGTGTACATGTAAGTTAGTAACCATATAAGTGCTTCCAAGTAGCCTTGTTAGTAAATACAATTTACCTTCAGGACAATGCCATCTGCTTTATCAACTGGCTGCGACATTATCAACTTGTTGTCATCCAGGGAGCAACTCAGACTCATTGTGCTTCCACATGCTCCAAAGTAATCCAGTATACACTAAATAAGAAATAATCTCAATTTACAGTTGATGCCAGAATTTTACCGCATATGGAATATTCAACGTTTGTAAAATAAATTGGTAGGAAAAGGTTAAGTCAGACTATTTGTTAGGTACGCTGTTTTCCATGTTTTCTCAGTTGAGCCAGGAGGCCTACCTTTAGACCTTTTCTTCTGATAGGCCTACTGATTGCTATTAAATGGGTAATTTCAAACACGAGAAATGTGTAGGGTCCTGTCCCAATGTGTTTCATTTAGAAAAAGACACTGCCTTTATTTTTCACACATGACAGGCCACTCGTCATGCTCTTGTGGTGTTATCACTTACAGCACTGCACATGTCACACCCTGCACACGGAGTAGGCCTAAACGCCCGGAACGTTCATGGGAAAGGGACTGTATTATGGGCCCCATTCTATAATTGAAAGGACACCTACATTTTAGCTTTTGGATTTACCGTTTGTAGATGGCTATGACATCATGCTCAGTAACTGTACGGTTGATGTTGTGAAAAGAGGACAGGGTTTTGAGTTTTGAGGGAAATTCTACTTAAACTGTAAGTGTTTTAACACATCACATGGTGGAGTTAACTTTACATGGCTGGTTTATCAGTATGAAAGTTACATTTTCTCAAAAATTGAATTACAAAAAAACAGGGTTAGGCCTGGTACAATTAAAGAGAACATCTGGGGGTCCCCAATTATATGGGAGTGCATTGGACGTCGAAGCCATAACACGTTAATCAGATCACAGACTCTCTTCTCTGGGCCTACAATGTATAACAAGTAACACTTTCACTTTGTAAGTTAGAGCAAGTTAGAAATAGAGTGAGGGTGAGAGGCCTGCCAGTGTCGTGATAAGATTTAACAATAAATAAAACCACAAGCCCTTTGTGAATTGTACAAAACTGCAAACTGATCCATCGCTCATGAATGCTGCAAAGAGATTGTGAGAGTACAAACCTGCGTGAAATTCGCCTTTTGTGGTATGGCGTCTGCATTTTTCCGCAAAAACACGAGCAGTCGACAGTGTGAAGTCGCCATTTTGAAATCTGGCCGCTTTCCCATCAACTAAACTTTAATTTAAATCCGCGCTGATCATGAATTCTCACTGCCGTCTGCTGAGTCAACATTTTATCTTTTAAATATCTAAAACTATTACACATGGATAATGTCATAATTTAACGTTTCAAATTAAGGGAATGGTTCTTGCAGTAAAGCTGTTTTAGAGGATTTATATTTATTGGTGCGGATGAACACTGACAGGTGTTGCAGGTCCAACACTCTCATCTGTGTCACACGTGAACTTTGTTACTTGAGGAGAGAATGTCAGTTTGTCAAATTCATCTTGTCTCTCTCCTCATCAAAGAACACTTTGGTGACATTGTAGAGAAGGTCTGCACTCACCTCATCAAGAATGGTGCGAAACCTTTACGTATTGCCTCCCAGGAAACTGGACTCAAACTTGACCAGGTCAGTTAATTCTGAAATTGTGCGGGGCAGAAGGGGTTTACTTGTATATCCGACACCATGACAGTTACACGTAAATAGTTTTGCGGTGTTTGTTAGCATTGATTTAAGCATAACACTTTAGGTGTAATACATGTATGGGGAAATTGAGTAAACTTGAAAGTGAAATGGTCATGCAAATTCAAGTCTTGGAAGTCTAGACCTTGCAAACAAAATTTTAAATCCCTCCAGGCCATGATGGAAGAATGAAGCCCCAACTACTAAGCCTAGGCCTGTTTCACCATAATGAAGTTCTCATCCCAGTTGAGCTAAGAATATGACATTTTCAAACTTTAGAAGAGCACGTTGTCAGGCATGTACTTAAGATAAGATGCTTAACTGGCAAAAGAAATGGTTTATAAAATGACAACAAAAACACAAGATAACAAAGAAGAAATGGGCTAGCATGACTGGGATGGCATATGGACTCTGACAGTAGTGACCCCTGCCAGGAACTTGAAACCGTATCTACCAACTGAACTATCTAGCCCTCTGTTGTTGGTTCCTTTTGTTTGTAAATTTATTTTGTTCAGGGGCACAAACGTCCTACTCTATAGTCACCAGATCCCTAATTTTGCCACATAATGTCATGCCTGTTTTTTATGGTAAGTGGCGAAATAATGGACCTGGCGACTGTACAGTCACAGACGTTAGTCAGCTGTTAAGCAGGGAAAGAGTTCCATATGCAAACATCACAAATTTTCCCTTGCAATTTATTAGCCATTAGAAGGGGATAGTATGGCCTAAAAAGTCAAAATTTCACAGAGGAAATATTGAAAACTTACATAGAGAACGCTTGGAATTTTTCAGACAAGTCTCATAGGGTAAGTGTACAGGGTGTCAAGTGATATCTCGTTATGGAACTCTTTCATTCAGCAGGTATCCATGTAAGAAGCAAACACCAACCACATCATGTACAATGTAGGTACATGCATCATGTAGGTACATGTATATGTACAACCAGGCTAGAGTCATGCCCAAAGTCACGATACATGCATCAGCCATGTTGTAAGCCTAGGAAGTGTTACATATAACTCAGAGAGGATACAGCTTGTTTGAATGCAAAAGGATTTGTAGGAGCGTGGTATGAACCTGTAACCTCTGAACATACATGTACATGCTTGGCGTGTATATGTGGGGGTTTTATTCCAGTCTATTTTCCTTTTTTTTTTAAATCCTGTCAATAAGTGTAATTTTTTAAAATGTAGGCCTAACATGAATGAAGGTAATGCATTGTTTGAACTGTTCATTGTGGAAGAATTATTAATCAATGTTTCCTTAAATTCTGATAATTGTGTGTTAATTTTTGGCAGGTGCGGAAAGCATTGTGTGTCCTTATCCAGCACAATATTGCGTCATTTGGCCTACACAAGCGGGGCTTTGTAGAGTATACAGCCAGCGTGGATCGGGCCCTGCTGTTGGTGCGGTACCCGCGCTACATCTACTGTGCCAAGACGCTGTACGGGGATGCGGGTGAGCTGATTGTTGAGGAAATTCTCCAACATGGCCAGATGATGATGAGCAGCATGGTGGCTCGGGTAACACAGAGGCTGTCGGAAGGTATAGGACATTGGAAACATATGGCCAAGTGGGTACGGATTGCACTGGTAGCTTCTGATCATAGGGTCCCTGTTTTCAATCCTAGCAGGCGGTTACATGTTGTGACCTTGGGCATGTCACTTTTACCCCTACGTGCCTCTCTCCACCCAGGAGTAGATGGGTACAAGTACCTGCGGGGGCAGATGGGGTAATTGTGGTTAGTTTTTTGTATCTGCTATTACAGTCGCCAGTGAGCTGAGACTATCTTTGAGTGTTTAGGTGTTGTAAACCCAATGAGGAAGGATATATCTGCACCTCTGAATGACAAACCCTGTGCCTCATCAATGCTTCGATATTATTGCTGTTATCAAATTGGTAAACAGGAGTAAAATGTGTGTAGGGCGTGTGATACATGCAGTGGATGAAAATATGCATGTAGTGCAGAAACTCTGCCAACAAGCTATTTTTATCAATCAAGGTCTTCATTTTGATGTATCACTCAGTTTGGCATCGTGGTAAAAATAGATACTCAGGTAGAAATGTTGAGGTTTCATATTGATTGATATTGCGCAAGATTCTTTAATAGGCCTGTGATTCAAATGTGGCTCTGGTGTCTTTGGACCCGATTTGGTCGGTTAGGTCAAATGTATATCCATTGCAATTTTTGTACACCTCATGCAGACGTTGGTCAGTGACCACAGCTTTTTATAATGTTCAGGTGGACAGCCAGTCACCGCAGACGACGTCAAGGAGAAGATGGAGGACCTGATCCACACCCACTTCCTCCAGAGGGTACCAGCCCCACCTACTAACAATGGCAACACCACAGATGCCAATGTTGCCATCCCCAAGCTGTTCATCAGTGAGCAAGACCTGTACAGGGTACCGGCAAGCATTGAAGTAACACGTAAGCACCCACTATCCTTTGTTCACATTCATAACTGCATGCTGTTGCGAATAATTTGAAGCACCATTTTAACTTTTCAGCCAACATCATCTGTGTCAGTTTTTTACCAAGCTTCTTGTGGATACCCAAGAGCTTTGAACCTTTTCTGGTCTTGAAAAGATTGCTGTTCACCTAAGTGGCACTGAATTCCAGTTTTGACCAAGGTTTTCTGCTTGCAGTAAAATGTCTTGTTTTAATGTATGTGTATTTTGCAGCAAAATGTATGTACATGTAGATATTTCAATATTGACTGCATGTGGTAAAAAGTTTAAAATTGTGAAATACTCATATTGTGCTGTTTCATTGTATTTTTGACTTGTGCTTGTTTTGCCCTATTTTGCCAGAAGTAGAAAAGGACAGCTCAAAACGGAAAAGATCAACAGAAGATGATGACCCACAGAGATCCAGTAAAAGACTCAAAATAGAGAATGCAGAGGTACAAAAACTCAAAATGATTTGAAATTTTTGCTAAGCTGTGTCCAGATTTCTATAACTTAATTATAACTTACAACATTTACAATGCACTTTCCACAATGTTTCAAAGTCCCAAGTTGATAGATCATTTCTAAAAGGATGTGGCTTTCATTGGGCAGAAAATCAAAATTTTCTTTTAGCTCAGGATGGATTTAAAACCCCCCCAAAACTGTCTGTAATCATCTGTGTTTTTAAAGTAAACAATTGTTCTAGCGAAGAAAATAATTTGTATATTTTGTCCATGAAATTTTTACCTGCTTTAAGAAAGTGAGAATGAAATTACAATAAACAAAGTTCTGAGATTTTGATGTGCATTGCTTGGAGCAATAAAAGTATCCAGTGATGTATAAATGAAAGGTTTGCCTGGTACCCTGTTTGCGTGGTACCCTTGCTAAGACCTTAACAGTCAGCAAAAAGCACACTTTTTGATGAACAAAAATCAGTCGTGCATCATTTGTATAACCTTATGGCATGTGTCAGTCCCACAAGGTACTGACACATTCTATCACTCACGCCCAGAATCAATTATTACAAAATTGTTGAGGTTACACCGAGCTTACAGTCCTCTGTATAACCTCATCAAACAATGGAACAGATTTGTCATTAATTGGCTGGTGTAGAGATGTTTTGGGCCATCTGGTACTTCATCCAACAGATTCCATCAATGGCTGATTTCAGTATTCCACCCAAATCTAAAGAAGTTCAATGAGAAAACCAGATGATAACATGTTTGTGTTGGGGGAGGAGGAAGCAAAATGCATGATATATGCCTTTATACCACTCCGGACAAATCCCGTGTAATCAGAGGGGAATACGAAATCTGTGTCTGAACATTTTTATGTTCAAAGTTGCCTGCGTTGGTTTCAAATCTGTTGACTTTTAGACAGAAGGGAGAAAACTGGCACTTTTCCAACCTTTCCATCAACATTTTTTAAATTAACCAACTCCCTTTGATATGTATCTTGTCAAATCATACCCAAATCTGAGGATGTAGCCCTGTGCACGGTTAATGAATTCTCATCTTTCTTGGCAGCATGCAGCCGATGAGGGTATCCTTTGGCATTTGAACTTTGAGCGGTTCCACAAGTATCTACTGGACCATGAGATAGTGCAGGCCGTGAGTCGCAGGATAGACTGGGTAAGTATCTTGACGATGTCAGAGATTTTACCCGCAGTATTGCAACAGAGTTACACCTTTAAAAGACAGTTTTTCCATTTTCAGATCAGCCGTCTCAAGCGGTGCACCTGCGTTCTGGTGCTCTAGTTGTAAGGGGCCATTAGAATGGTACATGCATGCGGCTGAGAAAAACTGGATGGTTAAAATCACAACTATATAACACAGTATCCCCTCTGCATAAACTGTGACTTTATTGCATGTCTGTGGCTAAGATCAATAATACAGTCCTACCGCAACATGTTCTGTGTTAGAATGCAGCGGAGGTGGTTCGCACCATGCTGAGGATTAGCGAATTATCCACGGGGCTGGAGGACAAGTTGTCCAAGCCCATCTCCATCAATGATCTGATGAGGCATCTACCCGTTGAGAACCGTATGAAGTTTGGCATCGTGGAACAGTACTTCAAGCTACTCTCTGATGACCAGGTAAGGCAAAAAAAATTCCTGAAGACCAGCGGATGCCCTGATTGCAAAAACTTGAAAGTCTCCCAATACTCTAGTAACATAGGCTGTGTCCGTATTACTTGACTGCAGCTTGAAATTACACCCTGCTATGGGAGGTTGCTGCAGCTACAACCTATGGCCTCACCACTCAAAAAGCCATAAAAGGTTTTTATAAAGAAATCGTTAAAGTTTTGGCTCACCATTAAACAATGTTTCCCGCCCCCCCCCAAAAAAACAATTTTGGTTCTGCATGTCAATCTGATGTGTCTGCAAAGACCCGCTCTCCTATGAAAGACAAGAGATGAAATTTGTAGCACTAACCTTCCCTTAGGGCCGGCGACCATTTAGACCCGGTTTGAAAAGGGCCCCCCCGTATGCTCGCCCTGTTGCAAAAACCCCTTTCATACTGGCCTGGCTACCAGCCTGGGATGCTGGACTGGTTGTTGATCTGGAACTTCTCCATCCTGGGTTCTATTGTTTGCAAGTACTGGTACATTTAATCTATCCCAGAAGGAACATGCTTGTAGTTTTTAATCCTTCAGCTGTATACAATGTTTACACTAATCCGCTTAGACCCCTATTCATCTGTGGAAGCATGGAGGGGGAAGCCTTTCATCAGGGAATTTGAAATGCGGATGTGCAGATAGGCCTCATATCGGCCTGGAGTAGCCTGAATACCGGACAGGCATTATACAGGGTGGGCTACGGGGGGGGGGGGCCCTTTTCAAACCGGGTCTAAAATGGTTGTGGCCCTTAGCTTTCAAAATCAACCAAAGAGGTATGGAAAGATTATGGCAAACGATGCCAAGGAAATTTCCAGTTGGGTCAAGGGTAGGCTAATTTTTAAAAAGAAGGCGAGAGTCAAGAAATCATCATGTATATGCACATTGGGTAGCAATGAAGAACCCCAGTGAATCAGAAGTGGGGCTGTAATCAAGTCCATCATAAGCCGTCCACAAGCTACTCAAATGAACTGTGGTACAAGCATTCCTTTGGCATTGAAGACCTTTTTACTTAGAACTGGTCATGGAAACGGACTTGTGACTTGACTGCAGCCCTGATCTCAGGTTCATCATGTAAATGTCTTCAAGAGCTGACTGGTTTGTCCCATATTCCCTTCTAGACTGGAATCGTGAAAAAGACTGACGAGGCCGGAGGAGGCACATACATCATTGGTATCCTTGAATGAAACTGGAAAATAAAACAAAAAAGGCAAATCAACCATTGAGGCCAATCTAGAAGCCATAAAGGGAATGGAAAATGATCCAGTCTGTTTCTCTTGAGCTGGCTGGTAATAAAAAAATTAGAAAGAGTTTTTGTTTTTGCATTAATCTGGCAGCTTTGGAAATGGGCATCCTCAGGATTGCCAGGGGCAGGCATCCAGATAAAAGAGAGACTTTGAAAAAACAAGCTCAATCAGGTTTATTTTTCTGTCAGTTTTATTTTTTCTTTTGAACATTTTTACCTATCACTGAGGATTCATTGTAAAAATAAGAGTTGAACTGGGTCGAATTGAATTGAATTGTACTTTTCAAAGGGCATCGTTTTACATGAAGCATCTCAAACCTGCATTGTCCCAAGATTGAAGATTAGCTGAAAAATAATGAAGGGTAAAGTGCAGTACTTTCTGTACTTTGGATGAGCATCAACAATAGAGGAGAAAAGGCGGTGTTCCCCTCATTCATGGTTTTTTAAACTCATTGCTGAAGTAGGCAACATAGAATACCACTGTCCAGCTTCATTTGTAATCTATGCCCAGATGTAAGTGGCATTGTGGAGAGTGGACGACCGCCAGCTTTAAGACTCTGATTCTCCTTGACCAGTGCTGGACAGATTTCCAGAATGCCTGTCGTGCTCTGGTGGTCTCCACCATCGAATCGGTGGTGCAGGAAAGGTTCGGCTCCAAGAGCTTTCGCATCTTCAAGACCCTACTGCTCAAGAAGTACCTGGAGCAGAAACAGGTCAGTCCAAGGCAAGCAGGTGGACATGGAGAATGTCCCACTTGGGATCTAATAACCCAAAGGATGTAAATGATATTGAATGACTTTGCATTGGGGATGTTCATTCTATATTAGGTTTTGCTCTTATGCTAACGTATTTGTCCACACTGCATTGTAAGTGTAGTCCGAGAGCTGCGGAATAATCAAAAGCTTGCTCAGGTGGGATTCGAACCCACGACTCCCTGTGTACCAGTGTAGAAGCCCTAACTACTCAACCAATGAATTTGCCTGGCATCATGTGCTGGCTGGAATCCAAAAGATTTGGAGTAGGGTTGGAGAGGCAATGGAATTGATGCTCCACAGATGCAGTAAATACGTGAAGAGCCATCAAATTTGGTTTGATTTTGGTCATGTATTTTGGGTTGCAGCCACATATTGATTGAATACTGACTGTAGTCCTCAGTTCTTGTTACATGAACTCAAGAAGAAGCAAGAGGCTGTTTGACTTTACTGGTCATTGGTCAGTGAGTAGAGTCCCTGTGTTTTTGGAAGAACATTTTCATTGTATTTTTATAGAGGGGATTCTGGTTGCATGAAACAGGAGGTTGACAGTTGACTTTGTAACAGTTTTGTTGAGCGATGGAGGCTGACTTGAGTAGTTGGCTACTTGCTGCTGGGTGGAATTTGCATATGCAGGACAAGTTCCCGGGCGATTTTCAAGATTTTCCATTTTCAAACTTCTTAAAAAATTTACACTTCATTAATTGGACGTTTACACCCAGACAAATGACTATCTGGTGGATACTCTAATCTAACAGGCAACCTCCATTGACACCTGAGTATTGCAGCCAGGTGGCACACCCAGTAAAGAGAGCCCAGATTGTGCGGTGTTGCATAATTTTTTTTGTTCCCAAAATTGGCCCACTGTGTTGCTGAATGGCAGTGGTGTCTTTTCAAATGAAGCCAGATTAACGTGCAGCGTACTGTATCGCTCATTGCTGGAGTGCTGGAGCACTTTTGTCCCTGGTGGTAATCCGCTGGCGCTGAATGCTGCAAACAGTGGTATACTGTTTCAAAAAAGTGACAGCTTAACTCCACTAATGCCAACTAAAAAATGATGGCAATTCAGAGTAGCTTGGTCTTTGTTCCTAGTACTGTCTTTGTTACAAGGCCCAGCCCCTTTGTCTGATTTCGGGCACCCCCTGGGTATGCGTACAAACCCAAGGTACCCGGTACTGGGAACCCGTAGGCAGGTGGTTAAAACTGTAAAATTAAGTTTCTTACCCATGCAACTTGGCCATTTGACAGTTTTAGTTCCTCACCACAGGTGGAGGAGTTTGCTCTCATCCCAGCCAAGGAAGCCAAGGAGCTCCTCTACAAGATGTTCTCAGAACACTTCGTTACCGTGCAGGAGATTCCCCGCACTCCGGACCATGCCCCCTCCCGCACCTTCTACCTCTTCATGGTGGAGGTGGGCCAGGTTAGCCGCATGCTGCTGGAGCGCTGCTACAAGGCTCTGGCCAACCTTGTCTGCAGACGAGCATTTGAGACTAAAGAGAACAAGTGGGTGGCAAGTTTTTTCCTCCCCCATCCTCACCCTTTCAACCCTTACAGGGCAATGAAATGGGTAAATGCCTATCACAAATTCATTGTGAAGGAAGTTCAGGTGTTACAATGCACGCTCAGTTTGCGTGCACATTTCATATTGCAGAAGCGTTGACCCTTGTTTTTGATCAAATTATTATGAACTAATTCCGGAAAGTAGTGAAACCGAGGCTTCCTAAAGAGCCCCCCTTGGCACTATAGTTCGTTCACATGCCTCAAGAAATCTGTGGAGGGGAGACCATGAGAGGCAGTTACAGTTTTAGAGGTGGGAGGAAAACCCCAGAGGAACCTTTTGGGGGAACCCACTGAATCAGGTAGGGTCCGAAAACCTGAATCCACATGTCAGCCCTGGGCAGAGTTCCAAACCCAGACTGCCGAAGGTGAGGAAAGTACCACTGCACCAACCTGTCCCCTATACAGGCAACAAAATTATTGCATTTATTCCACAAGGACACTAACAATTAACAGAATTGGCACTAACAGGATGACAGGCTTGGCTGACATTTTGAATGCTGATGTTTCAGTTTATCCAGCCCCACACATAGACCAATGGATTCTATTTTCGTATACTCCAGAAAGCACAATGTTTGAATAGTGTGAGTCAGCCAAAATACGTTTTGTTACCAATTTGCTCTTTAATCAAAAATGGAGGGAAAGACTTGTCTACGAATGCTGCAGTTCATATTTTCACACATCTTTGCTAATTTTGCTTTCATTTATAATGGCCAAACTGTAATTGTGTTTGTGCATTTATTTACAAATGCGAACTAGTTCCAAGTCAAGTGTTCCATGTTTCTTTCAAACATGTTTTTAGTGCCCTATTCACTTCATTTCATAATTTGGTTTTAGTTTGTGAGAGCAAACTAGTTAGCTCTTTGTTTTTATTTATCGAAATAAACAAACCTACTTTGGCATCCTGAGGCAAATGGACATGATGTAGGTGAAAAATATGGAGAGTTCCTATTGACTACATTGTGCAAGTCTAGAACTCAAAAGCAGTTCCTGTGACTTTTGCCTTGTTTTGTTGAGCACAGTCACATGTTGGAGTGGTTCAGGAACAGGACATTTGGAAGATGGCAGCTTCTAGTTGTTGGGATTGCTTTGGAAGATCTACATGTACTTTTAGGGGTTTTATCAGAATTTGCCTGCAGGACCATTTCTTCTCAAATAACACACCTGCATGTGCCAAGCGTTGGCCCCTAACTCATGATCGTAAATTTTTCTGGGAACTCAGACGCTTGATTGAGAAGTCCCAGCGCGTGGAGGCCATCGCAGCGTCGCTGCAAAGTGACGGTGCCGACCAATCGCAGACAGCAGAGGTGGAAGATATGATCACACCCTTGGAGAAGAACCAGCTGGAGAAATACCGTGGCAAAATTTCCAAGTGAGCCCTGAGAGCTTAAATGCAACCCCCATGGAGAATGTTGCTCAGATTCAGTTTAGTGCCAAAGGAGAAATTTGCATCTCAGAACTATTGGTACTGTACATTTTGAATGAAACTTGCCTGGTAACAGTGTCTTCCCTGTGTGAACCATACATGTATTTGGACAGGGTACCCGCATGTAGGACACATAGCAGTTCAAGTTCATTGGCCCTCTGATTATAAGCAAGAAAGCCTCGCTTATTGTAGAAAGTTTTGTGCCGAGAGCACATTTTGTGGGAATGAATTCAGGCTTTTCTGTCTGCTTACATTCTGCCTGCAAAAACTCTGAGCTTTACAGTGTTGGAACAGAGTTACATGTAACGTGTCAACACTCTGAGTTGGCAATAACTGGAGAAATTTTTTTGCACTTAACAGAGCTGTGAAAATGACCTGGCTTGTTAGTGCCTTCCCAGTGCAAACATTCAGTGAGCTTTCAGAATACCGCCCTCAGTGTTCCAGGTTTTGAAAAGGGCTCCCCAAAATAGTTGACCTCAGTGAGATTTCCAAAATTTATATCCATGCACCACACTGTGTATGATTGATTGTTTCTTCCGTCAACATTTCCTCTATTAGCAGAGACTTTTGGCGGCGGCGTTATACGTGTTAGCATTGTGACCTACAGGTATAGCCAGTGTAGGGGAAAAGTAGAAAAAAAAGCAGGGATGTTTTTTGCACATGAAGTCATCTTTGATGTTGTTATGTTCAAATGATGAATGTGCGGTTTTGCTGTTTCATGTGAATGCACTTTTCTGACTGGGTCATTCCATTTATTTGCAGGTTGGAGCAGAGTGAGCTGCAGGTGGACTGTACCATTTTCACATTGGGTAACTTCTTGCTACAGGAGGCTGGTAGCTGATGCGATACCTGGGCAGGTCCTTCTGTCGCTTTGCCCCTGGGCTGTGAGTTATTATCGCGCCAAGGGCCTCTTCACACACATGCCCATTGAACAGGATTCTTTTTAGGAAAAAACTTGGAACATGTCAGTTTCAGAGAGCCAGTTTACATCATGCAGTGCCACAATAAACAGCCAAGTTCAGAAACCTGAGCAATTGTACAACAAACTGCATTCTGACAAATGTTAAAACATTAGTCGGTACTGCATTGGGGAGCTGGTCAGCACACTGGTGTACACAGGTCCAGGCCACTCTTTGTCACATAGCCAGTCACGTTTTCTGCCCAAGGGGCCAAACCCTCACAATGTGAAACTAGGCAGTGTGACCTTTGATCTCTATATATTGACTGCATAGCGTGCCAAGACTGAGTACTGAGTGAACGCCACCAGGTGCCATACTTGGAGGCACTATGTGCATTATCAAGTCCCACAACAGTAACCTGTCATGTCAGGACTCTTATACGCTAAGTTTGTTTTTATTTATGCTCTGAGTAATCAAACAGAAAGTTTTCTTGATCTTTTACCTGTGAATTATTTCATTATCTCTTTATACTGCTCAAACACTTGGAAAATCTATAATTGTGCATGGCCTATCCTGCTTGGAATGTGGTGGCAGCCCTCTTTGGAGGTCTAGCTTTAGTGAGCAGGTCATGGAAAATCCTGGGGAAAAAAGCTGTCCTGGAAAGTCATGGAAATGTGGTGAAAAGGTGTCCTGGAATCCTGTTGGTTGAGGAAAAAAATGGAAGAGTCGTGGAAATCAAGATCATGTCAGGATCATTATGATGGGTTGCTTATGATGTGAAAACAGAATAAAGATAAATTTATATGTCAATCTGAAGTAGTGGCTATGGCAGTCTTCCAAATCACAATACCAAACAACTTTTCTCTGCAGTCATCAAACTTTGATTTTTAGATTTTTGTGGGAACCCTGATTGAGCCATAAAGACCTATTTTAGGTTGCCTTCTTCGTTAACGTATTACCAAATACCAATTGTCAGAGATTATTTGTATACTGAAAATAAAGTAGGATTTTTAAAGATTTTTTTATACTCAATACATCTTATTATCAGGAAAGACTGATATTTGAGGCTTGTCCGTCATAGCAAGTGATACTCGGTGATTACCTCAGTGTGTGGAAATCTGAATTATAAACAACCCAGAGTATATCCAGACAACTTTCTGACACTTGTTTTCTGTCCTCCAGTAATGGACAGATAAGACAGAATTTCACACAGAGGAATTTGGGGTTGAGTGTTCCACAGTCTTCACTCCCAAGTCTGGTAAAGATTAAATTGACTTACCCAATAACTTCTAGTGACTTCCCAGGGTCTAGTTTATTTGCCAATGTAACAACCAGAACTGAGTCATAGCCTTGTTATGATTCACAGTAGAGTTAGTCTAAACTGCATGCACAGTAAATAGAGGGCAAATTGGCGCGAGCTCACATTCACAGTCGTGGTGAATAACCACTAAAACTTTGATGAATGCTCACTTGCACATGGCCATGAAAATCAATTTGTAACCAAGGATGTTTTGGATAGAAGTAAGCGACTTTGTGTGGAGTATTGTTAGTGTAAGGTAGCCATTCCAGAGCACATGCAACGGCAAAGCTGCATGTGAGGATGAATACTCTAGAGTAAAAGAGACATGCAAATTGACCTTTTTGAACTTAGGTGTAAATAGAAGATGTGTTAAAAGAGCGGCCCACAACACACTTAATTACAGTTCATATTACATTTGGTTTAACGGTGTGGGTGCTGCACTCTGGTTTGTAAAATATGGCATTTTGAAACATCGGAAATCGTTTGGCTCAAGGTCAAATGGTGTATCCTATGTTGTATCCATTTGAAGTTGCCTGCAAAAGTATTCATGGAACATATAGAGAGCCATCAATTAAAATTAATGTGTTTTGTTAACCCTTTAATCAAAGCAAAAAGAAAAACAACTATGCACTGAAGAAGCTTCAACAATTTCCTGGCTGGTTTGATATGCATGAATGTCAAAGAGATTTTAACTGTTAACCTACAGTGAAATCAGGAAGAGTACTAATATGTTAAGAGGATGTGTAAACATGATCTGGCTATCTGCATACACAGATACCTCTGTCTGATATTTATATCAGAATAGCCACTACAGTATATCTTGCTTGCCTTTTTTGCAAGTCCAAATTTTGAGCCAAAAAGTCGTACCGTTATGTTGTGGTCAGAGGCTTTCTTCACCAATTTATCATGGTGTTTGCAAGTAATGCTTATATGAGGTTGTGGACAAGTGCAGTAATTATGCTACAGGGCAAAGACCTGGAAGAATTTAAGAAGTCCAGAGAGACATTGGAAACTAGAATGCATTTACAGTTTCAAACCCAGAGAAACGTTTTAATTCTGACTATATGTTATACATTGCAGCAATTGTAACATGATTCTTAAAATACGTATAGTCACTTCATACTCACTGAGAATGCGTAGTGAAACTGATGTCAAACATTCACAGAGGCATTCGTCGCATTTGTTGTCCAAATTTTTAGCATGAATACTCAATGCGGCATCACAAATTCTCAATTTGTTTTGTGCTGAGTATGAACTGACCTGTTGTCTGTGCCAGTCACCAGTTATATTAAACACAATGAACAGAATAGAGAAATAATGAAATCTTTCATTAACAAGACTTAAGGAGCAACCTTCCAGCTCCAGGGCCAAGGTTTTGTGACCAGCTGAACTTCCCTTATTAAAACAAAAAAACCTGCTCCATTCTGTTCCAAGGCTGCTGTTTTACATCACGGCACATATATACACATTATGCAGCAAGTTACATCTCACTTTTTAATTTGGACATACATGTATATTTGTTATTTTTGTTTCAAAATATATACTTAGGAGTATTTGATGAAAATTGTGGTTCGATTTTCTCTTGAGGTGGATACATGGTGGGCTCCTTTGAAAGAAAATTACCCAACCCCTCCCCCCCCCAAAATGACCCTTATTACAACACTTCTTCCATCAACATGTTGGCAAAATTCACACACAAGTATATCTACATGCAGTTTCAAAGCAAGTTGGAGCAGGTGTGCATGGGAATTTTGCTGGAGGCAAAACAACAAGAGTCTTTCCAAGATCAGCCCTTTTAAAAATGTTTTGATAATGCGCCAGGTCTATATTTTTCCAACAGCGTATGCTCCACATGAAACGTGTCCAAGGTCATTCAGACGCATGGTTTCACGCGCGTGCTTTGTTCCTGAATGGCCTTTCTGTTTTGAAATACTGAACAGGCTCATTAATGGCACTTTACGTTGTGGTCCATTACAATCTAGTTTGAGTTATCTTGATTAGCAATGGTAAAATGCACTAATCAACAAGATCATTTGGAGTACATCAGACAAAGTCCAAAGCCTTTCAACATTACAATACCTGTATGCAGCTTCAGCTCCTAATGCTGTGCTTCTGTCTCAGACTGGAGCTCAATCTTTGCTCCAAGGAGTGGTTTGATAAAAATAACAATTAAACCCAGAGTGTAAACACTTACATAATTGCAACACTTCTACACAACTTTAACAGCATTTTCATCACACAATTATATCACACCAATGTCTGTAGACTAGTCTTGTGTAGAATGTTTGAACAAAATATGTACAACCATCGCTATAAAAAAAGTAAAACGCGGAATATAAGAAAGTGTACACAAACTTGTTAACGTTAATTTCAGACATAAAAGTAGCAGAGAAAATGGTAGGCAAGGGTTATGTCCCCCAACCAAACAAAAGGTATTCCTCTTGTAGCAAGTGGTGGAATACTGCTTAGTTCCTGGCCAACCAGGGTCTAAAATTTGACCTTTTTGAGGCAATTTCAGATTTCCTTGTACCGTAAGCAGACGGCTATTTCAGCAACTTATTTGTTATGTGCCGCTACATTTCTGCTCTTATACCTGCCTTAATTGTGTCCCCCTCCCCCCCCCCCAAAAAAGTCCTCAAACATTCTCTTCATTCCGGGAAAGGGCATCTTTTTTGAACATGACCATTTCAGTTCAGGACAGCAATTAGCACAAGGTGTAATCATCTTTTGTGACACTTTGTTGATTGGGCCTTTTTGCACTGAATGTGAATCCTGTACTCAAAGCCACATGAACAGGATGAGCTCCCTGAAAACTCTTATTTTTGTTTCTTCTGAGTGAAAATATTGACACCTCTATTTACATGATTTTAAAAGTTTCATAGGTTTTGATATGAAATTCACAAGAATTTCCAGAACAATACATTGTACATCATAAAAATTTGCATTAAAAAATAAAGATAGACAATGTGCAAGAAATTCTTTGCTGACCACCTTCCACATCGACCCACAACACCATAGCTGGCAGAATTCATCTCACACTCGATAAGATACAAAAATTTGGCAAATTGTGTTTATTTGATATCATTAAACCTGAATCTTTGATACTTGACTAATTGTGGGGGGGGGAATTGGTTTTCAACAAAAATTTCATTTACTGAATGCATTTGGCAATCTTCGCTGAACATGCACTGCGCATATCTGCGCATAATTATATTGAAAATGGTGGTTCAACTGCACAGTGCTCGGATAAATATGTGCATGATGAGAGCTCGAGGCAGAGCATCATGAATCGGACAAAAGGGCTGGGCCTTGTAACAAAAGACCATACTCCCACTGCTGGGAATTGCCATCATTTTTCATCTGGCATTTATCAGAGGTAATCCGTCATTGTTTTGAAACAGTATACATGTACATGTACCACTGTTTTCGGCACAGCGCGCCCACCGATTAGCACCACAGACAAAAGTGCTCCAGCTCCCCATTGATGAGCAATACAGTACCACTGCACACTAATCCAGCCGCATTTGAAAAGACGCCACTGGCATTCACTGAGAACAAAAACAATTATGCAACACCTCACAATTCTGGGCTCTCTTTACAGGGTGGCAGGCCTGGCTGAAATACTCGGGCGTCTAAGGAGGTTGCCTGTCAGATTAGACTAGCTACCAGACAGTCATTCATGTGGGTGTAAACGTCCATTAAAGGAAATAATGAATTTTTGAAGAATTTTGAAAATGGAAAATCTGAAAATTGCCCGTATGTAGGCACTGCGTTTTTAAAAGCACCCGGCAGGAAATGGTTAAGCTAAGGGTTCATAAAGTTTCTATGACTAGTCCTTGTTAACATTCATTGACTGCGACCATTACACTGAGCACAGATAAAAGAAAATGGTGGTGCCTGCCATCCATTTCCAGTAAGGATAACATGAATTCACATGCTTCTGCATGTACATGGTTCTCATGAATATGCAACACAGTGCTCCCAACAAGATCCTATTTAGAATCCAATAATCACACACTTTGAACTCTGTGGTTGCTACCTGTGCTCCAGTCCATCAGAAAATAAGGAATAACTGGCTGAGGCTCTGTCACAATTTCTTATGTCACAAATCGAGACCAAGATGTTTTAAGCGCACTTGTCTCTTATTTTTTACAGCCCAACAAACGTCCTTTCAAGAGGATGGAAATTGCTATACTTTCATGCAGATTCAATACAGAGTGCCCACTGAACTGAGATTTAGGAATTAATTCATTTAGTTGCTCATCTGTGTCACCCCAACATAGTCAAGAAATGGAATGTACATGTACAGCTGTGTTGGCACCATACATCAATAAAAAGGCTGTTTCTGCTTTCACACAAACTGAGACACGATTATCTTTTCCTGACCTGATCACATCTTATTGATAAACCTGGGCCCTAATCAGAACATTAAATACAGACACTCTCTAATTGCTGGCAGAAAACATAACCTGTGGTGGTTTCATTTTGACCAAGGGGATCTTCTTTTCTCGGATGCACCTGTCGCAGGCCCACTCAGCCAGCTGTTCGTTAGTAAGGAATGAGTAGGCTGCCTCGGAGAGCCCTGTGCAAACGCGATGGAACCACAGGTTGCAGCCACTCTCACACATGATGGTCTCCTCCCCATCGTGAATCTCCATCCGGCACAGCCCACAGAAGAACATGGGCGGGCCTGGAGGAGGTGGCCCGCCGCCCATGCCGTACATAGCCGAGTGGTGGGGCTGGTGCATGGCGGGGCCATTGGGGGGCCCTCCGGGGGGATAGCCGGCGCCTGTGGGGGGCATGGCTCGGGGGTAGCCGCTGTTCATCATGGCCGGGTAGGGTGCCGCGTTCAGCATGGCCCGGGGGTTCATCATGCGGCGCGCCATGAAGCCCGGGTAGTTGGGGGGAAGTGGCGCAGGGTTGGGGCTGTCGTCGAAGGGATTGGTGGCACTGATGTGGCTGGTGTGGTGGGATTGGGGTGGGACGAGTGTCTGAGGAAGGTCAAGGGTGCTTCCACTAGCAGGTGCCTAGAAAAAGGATAAATCACCATCAAAACTAATAATTCAAGCTCACAAAGTGCTTTATCAGGGGTGTATCAATCATCACCCCTGTTCAATGTACTGTGGGATAACTTCTCTGCAAGCCTTTGGAGATTACCACAATTTTGACCTCTGTCCTTGCAGGTAACCTTTATTACTCTATGGGGGACTGGGGAGAAGCAGTTCTGGTCAAGTGTTTTGTCCAAGGAACACAAGCACCCTGTTGCCTGTGGGTTGCAAACCCTCATTCTGCCAGAGTCTAATACCAGAATCATTTGACCTCAGCAGACCACTAGACAACATTCAATGTGATTCAAAGCACCAGTCTCAAAAAGCTTCAGGACTGGATACCAATTTAACAAAATTCCCTCTGAAAATTTTAAATGACACTTTGAAGATTACTTGTAAATTCAAAAACAATACAGTTTTTTAAATCAAGATGTTAACAATAGGGCTGTGCCAAATATCCAAATATTCGATCATTCTTTTTCGACTTTGAATATTCAAATGCAAAATTCATGTAAAAGATGGGAGAACTTCCTTTTTCAAATGAGAAAAAATCTTGGCATGGAGGCTTGTTTGATGGATGCCCAAGTCCAATATACATATAGAATCCATCCTAGAAAATGGAAATAACTTTTTAACTGAAAAATTTGAATGTGTAACAATCCACTGGCCGGTACGATTGGTATTCGGTATGATCGGTATTCGAATATTTGATCGAATTGAAGGTCAAGTGCTAGAATACTCAATTATTCACATTGACTCAGCCCTAGTTAACTGTAGACTTTTCTTAATGCACCTTCACTGAAAATATAGTTTTTCAGAGCAAGGGTCAATACAATTGCATGTGCTATGGAAACAGGACCGAAAAATGATGGACATTATAAGCCTGCTGATCAGGGTAAAAGAACTTGGGTACCGTGAACCATGCTTTGATGAAGGAACCATAGGCAATGCTCACCTGCTTAGCAGAAGCCTTTTTGTGTTTCTTCCTGGGGCTAGAGGGTTCACTAGTATTAGAATTCTCACTCTCTGTTTGGCTGATCAGGTCACTGTCCGAAGAAGCTACATGTGAAACAGATAACAGCACAAGTCAGAAGTCCAAGTCCAAACTGAAAACCTCCGGCTTAGGCAGTGAAATCTTTACCATGTGGAACAAGTGAAATTACCAAGTGGGCGAGTGGCCTTGTGGTTAGGGTTTGTAACTCCTGATCGAAGGATCGAGGCTCAAATCCTGCAATGGGGCATGCGATGTGACCTTGTGTAATTTGCTTTAACCTCAATTCCCTCTCTCCACCCAGGAATGGATCGCCTGGAATGGATCCACTGCTGGTTGTACAGAATATGCTCCCAGGGAGTTGAGATGGATGATTTGATTATTTCTGGGCCCAGTGAGCAGGGGTACTATGGTGTAACACTGAGGGTCCACCTGGTACTGGAAGATGCTACATACATGTACATGCACAGTACAGATAAATAAGTCATGTATTATACCTTTTTCCCCCTACATGCTTTTCACTACTTATGTAAGTTTATCTACAACCCTAGCCCTCCCATGTATGTTTGAGCCGCTCACTTAGTTTGTGCGCATGCCCACTGAATTGCACTAAATCCAGAAGCCAGCAAAATGGCTTTTGACTCGGGCAGGTTGACCTGAAAAGTAATTGATCAACATCAAGGTCAGATAGTTGTTTCCCCCTCATTTCCATACTAATTAGAATTTAAACATTCAAAGTCCCTTTGCTAACTTGCCAACATGATAAAAATCCATTTTCTGCCACATTTTTGCCTGTCCTTATCACATATCTCCAAAGTAACAGAGTCAGTATTGTGAATGGTGAGGAATATCGTGAATGTTCTAATGATAAGTATCATGCAAGAAGGATGCATGAATGAGAATGGAAAGTTTTAGTCAGTGCCTTCCAGTCGGGAAATTTGACATGCATTGTACGTATTAGTGCGATGCAGTTAAAGTCAACTCATACCCAAACCCACTCGTATCCAGATTGTGTGTGCGTGTACGTTTATGCCATGCCCCAAATCTGGACATCTCATTTTTTATCCCAATCAGACTCGGTGCGGAAATGTGAATCCGCACGAAAAACGAACCACATTTCAAACAAATGGCTCTTGATCTTGAAGAAATGAGCTAATAGATACAAACAATTTATCAGTCTTCCAAACAGTATCACGAATGTTCTGAAGGAAATTCAACAAAAGTGTGAAAAACTTAGTAAGGTGAAAAACATGAAAAATGACAAAAATGGGTCCCAATTAAAAATGAAGTGAATTTCAAAAGAAAAGGTTTCCTTCCGAGAGGAAATAAATTTTTGTTCATGAAAGTTATTAGTCTTTCATGTGGCATCAAGGTTATTTGAAGGTTAACACGGCAAAATTGTGCAAATCAGATAGAATATTAGTTAATAAAACATGATTTTTTTTATAATTATCTTTTGTCATAAAATTTAAATCTTCCACTTCTTTGATTTTTTTCCAGGGTTTTTCTTACAAAGAAGCTTTTAAATATCACAATGATAGATTCTTAGCAATTTGTTCACACAGGAGGTCTTCAAGGGAAATGGCAGTACAAATCCCTCACATGGGATACCACTGACATGCATCGTTTGCTAGAATAATTTTTTCAGCCCAACAACCATATGTCACTAATATACAATCTAAATGCATGCACAGTCTATGGAGACCAAAGATACATGCTCCCGTCCCAGATCTTTCAAAATCAATCAACTGGTCTTGGAGGATTTTGAAGGATTAAGAGTGCCAGGGCTCCATCATTACTGCTTTACATAGGGCCTGATGCCCCTGGAAAGTTTCAAGTGCAATGACCAGGATTGGAGGATTTTGTAGGACTTGGGAAAGTTCTCAGCACTAATAAGGAGCTGGGTTATCCGGAATAGAAAGATTTCAAATTGATGCTAACCTCTGAATTTTTTTGCCTTGGACTGCTTTTTCTCCCTTGGCATTAGCGGAAGGCAGCAAAGAGGGCCGATGCCCGCTCCAAGTCGACAAAAGTCAGAAGTGGGCAACTTGTGTTGGACACCGTCATAGCTGATGGGGAGCAAAAACTTGACAGCAATGTGACTCCAGGAGTTCACATATTAAACTTGCTTGGCAAACACGAGGCTGTACTTGCAGCTGTGCACAGAAAAAAAGGCATCTTGGTCAGAGTTACTGATATAACATTCACATGTACCCTGCACACATTTTTGCTTCTTTTGTGTGTAGCACAAGTCTTACAGTTATGGTCAAGTAATTGGGAAATAGGTACAAATTGTATTTTAAATTTCAGAACGAAATCAAGCCTCATCCACAGATTGAGGTTTGTAGTTTTGAAGTAAACTTAACAGAAAAAGTCCCATGTACTGGTACGCAGTGCCCAAACCTATTAGACTAGTTTGAAAACACCCAAGTGTTTTCTAAGTAAATTCTTTGAAATTTTCTTCGGAATTTTCTTAGCTAAATTTACCTTTTTAAGACGTTATCACTTTGTGACAGCTGTTATAACATTTTAAGGAAAAGTCAGTGATGTCCATAAACTCTTTCCAACTTATCTTCTAGCTCACCAAGCCTGGCAAAAGCAATGAGGGTTACTATTCCTAGATATCTACTTTTTATTGGTGTACATGTGTAATTTCCTGTCAAAATATGGGTCAGGAACGTCATCTAGAAATTAAACATATGGCTTTAAGACATTTCATATTCAGGGAATGCTTGGTAAAGCATACATCAGCTTGCGGAGCTCAATCTCTTTTATTGTATCACAGTAAAAAGCACACAATTCCCAACACATTTCTCTAAAGGGTGTGAGGCTGAGGATTGGCTGAGGAGGTACATGTAGATGTTGTCTTGGTCTTATCACTCAATTATAGGTAAAGTGTTGGTGGCAGGAATGGGTAAATACATGTAGGTGACATTAGTGCCATTGAAAATTAAATTTCATGGAACTAGCTACAGGCCTACAAGGCCTACAACTTACAAGCTCAGTTGCAGAACACCCCGCCACCCCACATGATTAACCTTGTACATGTACTGTAGCTGGGTAGACACTGGTAGAGGTCAAACTGTCACACTCTTCTCGCAAGATTTTCACCTTGTACCCACGTAACTAGTCCTTCCATGGGTTGGTCTTTTTTTTTTTTTTTTTTCTTTTGAGTGCCAGGGTATTCTGTATCTGCAAATTACTCCGGCCTACACGTACATGTACATCTTCTAACTTGAAGGCCCAGACTTCATTCGGCTTTTAACAGAGTTAAAATATTCGAAAATGACTTTACAACTTTATAAAAGACTGTAGTTATCATGGTTATGCACTCAGAACTGGAGGAAGGAAAAGAACTCTATGATATGGCAAACACTTCATACAATTTTTACGAACATCATGATGATCATGGCTAGACCTGTCTACAGGCCCGACGAATACTCCTCTGTCATATACTGGGCCCTGTCTCTATTCATAGGGATTTCTCTCGACAAACTTATCCGGGATATCCGGGGGTTTAACTAAACATCCGCTTGATTTTATGAGCTGAAATTGCACCGGTATATTCACTACTTACGGTGTAAGCCATCCGCTGGGTTGTTAGTTGTAGAAAACTCGCCTTTTCCTCCTTTGAGGAAAGAAATGTTGGCTTTTTTGGCCGTTTTCCCACTCCGGACGAAGTTTGCCCTACTTGCACAAAAGCTACGGCTGTTTCGTCATTTTCATGTCTCGTTACAGAGAGCGAGTCGCGCTACCAATGATTAGCCGCTAACAGTGTGTGACAGGATAGGTAACCAGCCAAGGGCGTTGCGTATTAGCTGCGACACAAAACAGCCGTAATTTTCCACGAGTACTTAGATCGACAGGTACTCTCGCAGATCTGAACGACATCCGTAGGTACTGAAGTCTGGGTGCAAACTAGACAGGCTCTCGTACACGGTACCATCACCTAACCATACGAAGGAGTCCGAGTAACGTACAAGTCAGGTGAAAATTCGTACGGAGTGGGAAATCGGCCAAAAAAGGCAACATTTTTTCCTCCAAACGAGGAAACAGGCGAGTTTTCTACAATTAGCAACCTAATGGATATTTTACAGCGTAAGTAGTAAACATACCAGTGCAATTTCAGGTAATAAAGTTATGCGGATGTTTAGTTATGCACCCGGATGTCCCGGATAAAGAAATCCCTATTAATCTGGACTAGGCCCAGTATACAACGGAGGAGTATTCGTTGGACCCTGTTCACGGGTCCAGATCATGGCTGGCTAGCCTCGGCTTATCGTGACATATCGCCAGATTGTTTCTATTCTTTCAAACTCATAAATGCTTTCAAGACTTTAACATTCCCAAGTATCTACCGTAAATACCATCAACTGTTGCACTACTTTCCTCTTACATAGTGGCACTGAGCTACGGAATCAATTAACTGTAAAATTACGTGAAAATACCTGGGTTTTGACGTTTTAACTATGCCGGCGCGTAAATAAATCGTGTATCGATGTATATCATGCACAGTGGAAGTGTACCGCCCTCAATTGGTCAATAATGTATAGGTTCTTATTGTTTTTATTTGGTCTGTTTACATTTTCCAACGTTCGGTTTTTTCCAGAGTTACTTAAGTCTCCTGATGAGAGAACCCCAGAACGACTCAGTGTAGCCCTGTTTCCAGCAGTAAACCAACATTCGTTCAAACAAGAGGGGCAGTTTCATACTGGGCTTTGGATGAAATGAGCCTCACTAAAACGTACCGCCAGATACATTGTGCATGATTTTGCCCAAAGATCGTACTGGATATGACTGGCATAGGGCCGAGGGTGTAGTCCACTAATTCGAGCCCCATTGAAAACAGTGTAAAATCAACATTCTGCAGGGCTCAATAACATGCAAGCCAACATCCCTGAGGTTTCTCAAACAAAAATTGAATTATCATTTAGTCCTTCATCTTTCAATTTCTTCTCAATTTTCGGCTGGGGGAGGGGGGTAAGTAATCTCCTTTTTAAAAAGGAACAGTGGGGGGCACTTTTAATGACAGTGAACTGGCTAGAAATTCCCACTTGAGTCAGTCGACTGTACCCATAGGGATGATGCGGTATTCCATTTCAGACAAAATTGTTTCACCAAGTTGACTGCTCAGTTTCACAAGCCGTCTATTATTGCTGACTCATATCTTGGAATCTCATCTACTTTAGTGAGAAAAGTCTGCATCCATTAAACGGACGTTTTAAAAGGGTGGTGTTTCTCAGCGTTGGGGCACTTATAAAAGCAATGAAGGAAACGAACTGTGGCTTGTGCCTTGTGCACAAGTTGTGTAAATGTACATTTCATTTAAAATCGGAGAGGCGGAGCGTTCCTCCGTTCCCCCCTTCCCGCTTATTAACGCTTATTATTTCGTATTCCGAGGCCATGAGGGCGAAAAGCAAAATAAATACGCATTTCACCAAGGCTGAATGTTCCTGGGTCCGTTAAACTTGCTTCAGCCAATTGTCATTGTGTGTTTCTCTCGACAAAGTGGACGACAAACTGAAGTGGTCTTCAAACCTATACACTCTTCAAAAATCACCTAGCGCCCCGGACAGAGCCCGGTGCACCAACTAGCTGGTAAACAAAAGACTACTTTGGGACGTGAGCTGTTAACTGATTTTTCCCACTGGCAGTTGTTAGACATAGGGATACATAGTCATTTCCGAGGAAGTTTATTCATTCGAATGAGACCAGGCATAACTCATGATGAGTTCACAGTTATTCCCGGAAGAGGCGAAGTAGAGGGTACGGATAAAGCTACTGGAGGCGGATTTTCAGAAGTCATTCCCATCACTTGTTGGCGTCGTAGAGGGGTGGGTCCATAATAAAATAAAAGTTATAACTGCTTTGTCCTTTTCTGCTGTTAAAGCTTTCATTCTTGTCAAAATTTAAATCGCTACATAATTGGCTAGCAATCCTCTCTTTGAAGGCTTACTTCAGTGGGAAAAAATTGTAGGTCATTTGAAGGCTCGTCTATGATCGCTGATGTGTGGTGATGATGACATGGCGTTAACTGATTGTTTAACCTCTTCCCGACGGTGCATTCAAGCATGATTCCAACTACCTCGGTGACTCAAGCATGATTACGTGGATGGATTAGTTCCATATAGCCTTGCAGTTTTTCTTTCTGTGAACACTTCATGAAAACCCCACTGTAATGGGCGGGGCATGTCCGCATAAAGGTCAGCAACGAGTTGGGCAGGCAACATCCTGCACATGCATTCAGACTGCGCAGGCTGCGGATTCAGAAGTTATAATGGGGGGGGCTAGTTTAAAGGAGTGCAGTGTCAGCAGGAAATCTTTAGATAAGCCTGGGGTCGGGCCTGATAACGCACAATAAGCGGAAAGAGCACTTCCGCGTACTGTCGGAATGAGGTAATGCTAGGAGGAGGACAACAGTGACACTCGACATGAGCCCAATTAATACCGGCTGTGCTGCAGTAGATTGTGGCACAACATCGAAATGGTCCTTCAAACAACCAAACCTTCTCGTGGTAGGCCTAATGATTTTGTTGCCTTTGAACTGCAATCAACATTGTGCATGTGCTGCCTGTTGATACAATTTTCCTGACACTGCAATGTATCCTACAAATCGGAGATGTACTATTCCTTTCATGATGTTGTGTCTCGTACTGTCGATGTCATTGATGGCTTGTCACAGTCCAGTACTGGCCCAGATATCGGTGGACCAAGGGCCAAAGGATGTGTCTGTCGTCCAAGGAAACACCGCCATATTTGATTGTGACTTGAACAATGCTGCCGGTCACATTATTTACTGGTATTACGAGAGCGGAGCGACGAAGAGGTATTTGAGCATTGGTAGAGAGGTGGGACGGAGTACTCCTCTCTCTCCGGCGCTCCTGAACCGTCTGTCTGTCATCGGTGACGAGAGCCAAGAGGAATTTACGCTGAGGATCGTCAGTGTACAAGAGAGTGATAAAGGGAGTTACTCGTGTCTGTACGCAGTTGGAAATTCCTTGCATACTGCCGGGGCAGGTATACTAACCGTGTGGGTCCCGCCCAGCATGCAGTCGCCAGTGTGCAGAGTGCTAGGTATATCGGGGACCACTGACCAGTTCCAGGTGGACGAGATAGTTAGTCTTTACTGCTACACTTCTGGTGGGAATCCCACTCCCAGCGTGGGGTATTACAGGAATGGTGACCGGGTGACGACGCTGGCTCGGTCGATTGGGCACCAGTACCGCTTAACCGCCGATGACAACGGTGTGACCTTCACTTGCATCATGACCACACCTGCTTTGGATGGACCGCGTAACTGCTCTGTAATGCCACTGAAAATCTTGCCGAATGCCACCATCCTACCTGTAGCATCCAGGGTTGAGGAGGGGACCTCGGCATCATTTGAATGTTTCGGTGAGGGTACGCCCAACATCGCCACGTACAGGTGGAGAGTGACAAATGTTGACACTGGAGACATTTTACCCGAGGTCACTTACACAGTGCCTGGGAACGGCCGACAATTGGAGATAAAAGTGATGGAAAATCTTGAATTACTGTGCACGGTGAGTGTGCCCTCTGGACTTTCCGGTAACACCACCGCCAGGGTGCATGTCATCCAGCGAGAAGTCCTCACTACAGCTGCGATATCGACAGTGGAGAAGCACCCCTCCAGCGAACCGTCGTCCGCATCACCCCCTGTAGCCATCATTGTTGCAGTAGTGGTTCTGGCCTTGATCGCGATAATTCTCGTCTCCTTGACATGGTTTATGTGGAGGAGAAAACGATTGGAAAGATCCAAGATACCCATCGATCCCAAAGATGGGTATAAGATGAGTGATGTCCGAGACGAGTATGCCGAAATCGACATACCGACTCAAAATGGCCGAGATACCCGGATGTCGGAGGCAGACTTTTCAGAGACACAGACAGGGGTTGGACTCGTGGCTAGCAACCCTCTTTACGCTGCACCCGATCATCGCAAGCGAGTCGGATCGGCGGTCCGGAGTGCGGTTGACAGCAAGCAGGGTTCGCTAACATGCTCACAACCCGACAAGAAACCAGCGACTAACAATAACGACGAAAAGCTGCCGCCAAGTATCACCGACGGAACCCTGGCCCGCCTCCTTCCCGCTGAAGACGCACCGCTGTACGCCCAGCCGGACAAGCCCAAGAGGAGCAGAAAGAGCGAGGACTACCGCGGGAGCGAGTACCTCACCCTGCCGGCAGAGGAGCCCGATGAAGCGGACTCCGGTCTGGTCTACGCTGATCTTGCTCTTGATTCTTCGCCTGACAAAACTTCAAGTAACATCGAGCCGCCTTCCGCCTCAGAAAAGACCGTGTATGCCTCGATTCTCACTTGATTGTACAATGTATTAAAAAATTATATTTTTTCATAAATTTTCTGAATAAAGCTACCGTGAACTGCAGTCTCCGTGAAGTTTTGTCGTTAACCTGCAAATTGATTTGCATAATGTACTATCATCGTGAATTCATGCCCCAGTCTAGCATTTATCAAAACAAAAGGGATCAATATTATGCTCTCACCCCTGCTGAGGTCCGACGTGTGTATCATGAAAGAGAAAGAAAAAAATCGTTTTTCTTGAAATTCTACAAAATCCCGATTACAAAACCATTTTATAAATACACAGGATGATCCATGGAATAAATTTTGCAACAGTGAGCGATGTGATTGAAGGACGAGTTGTTGATGCTGACTGCAGTAATACCCAATGGGAGTAAGTGAGAGAAAACGTTCTTTTCAGTGCATTATTTTGTATAAATTATGTCAATTAATGTAATATTTTTATTTCATAAGTCTGATTATAATCTGTTGTCCGATTGATAGTGTATGCACTCTCTGTCAGGCTGGCCTGCTTGAGAGCCCAGTATATACGAAACAAATATTAAATTACATGTATCAAAGTAGACGTAATAAATTCAAATTGATATTAAACCCAGTACATGTACTTGAAAAACATTTTTTGAAAAAAAATAAATTTTACTGGAAAACATTCGGACAATGATCAGCGAATTGATAATTGTCGGAATGCAGATTATCTTACATAAAGTGTAAGATTGTTACAAAATTAAGTTTTGCTAAGCAAACATCGGTGTACACTGACCTTAAAAGGTGCTGTTCGATGCACCTTTTACAATCCTTGAAAATGCACTGAATCACAAATTGTCAATTAACTGGTTTTTTTTTAATACTGGTTTTATTTTAAAAGGTATTTTGGCGTCTTATTGGTCCTTATGCTAATTAGAAATTCCGTATTCCTGTACATTACTGTGGGAATACCTCCTCAACGGTGCACTGATTCCAGCACAAAACTGCTAGAATAGGGCCTATGTTAGTATTTTGCTGTTCCAAATTTTGTTTTCTATGGTATTTCACTGTTTTTTGAGTACATGGTAATAGGCGGATGAGCAACCCTCTCTTGGAGTATAATCAGCAAAATTTGGGTTCCAGATTTGAACAGTTAAACCTATAACCAAACAGTGTCTTCCCTGATTTAGAGCTGTTTATATCACGGCGCCCTCTGCTGTCCGCAAAAGTATGCGCAGTAGATTTTAAATGTTCAAAAACAGTGCTTGCTTTTTAACACACCCAACCCGTTTGAAAAGAATCTTAAAAATGTTTTTATGCATTGAAAGAAAGTATAAAGTTGTACAAAAATGTGCCTGAGAAAACTTCATAACCTGGGCCTTATGAAATACAAATATCTATTTTTAAAGGTATGGAGTGCTGTCATCATCACCATCATTATGACCACCACCATCATGTCCCCTAGCCAGAGGGCTGTCTACCTTCATTCTTCCATAATGCCTCTCTATTTTACCCCGGCTCCAGTTCCGTCGGGCGGCCTGTTCTTGCCACTGGTTTCTTGCTCTCGCACTTGAGTGGCGGGAACAATGCCCATGAACACTGTTCTCTGAACGGGATCACGTATCCTCGTCAGGGTTTGGCGCGAACGCAAGGAAAAGCGCGCGGACTTGATTTTTGAACTGTTGCAAAAATAGCCAGACGGCCGGCAAAGCCGGAGATTTTTTGGAAAAGTTTCGTAAATTAAACATTAGTAATTGTCTACAACATAGAAACGAATGTTCCTTTCTGAATCGGCCTACAAATTCAAAGACTAACCCAAGTTGAATAACGTATAGGGATGTTGGACATTTCCTGTTACTGTACGAATAGCGTCAACCGACGGCATCGCGTCCGGCGTTCGAGCGGCCCGCCCACAAACAAAGCTTGCTGTTCATAAACTCGCAGAACACGCCCGAACTCAGCCTTATCGTTTGCAGAGTACTGTATACACTCATGATACAACTCAACCGCCTCATCAGCTCTGAACCGCCTAGGCTTTTACGGCGACCTCTTTTTTGTAGACCTCTGAAACCTAGAGGATCGTGTTAGCAAGGGTTGCTTTCGTATAGATTGAATATACAAAGTGTATACAAATTAGAGGAACAAACATTGAAAGTATAGTGAATTAAACGTGAGCAAGATGTCTAATCAAATGGAACTGTGGATAGTAACCAGAAGTCGGAGCTATTCTCAGAAACATTGATGAGATATTGGAGCAGCAATGTGCGGCACATAGAAGTCAGGGGATCATTTATACTGCTATGTCAGGCTCAAACACAAGGAGGACAGGTTAAATAGGACAAACATAACAGGACAAACAAAATGGCGAAGACAATAGCAAGCCTTTACAATTTATGACAATGAGTTGTCCCCATTCAATGTTAAGCTTGAGTTGATGCAAAGAGGGAATAATATGCATGGTGTAGCCGGAAAAACGCAATTTGTTTGTGCGAACTAGACAAGTTTTTGTCATTTTCGCAAAGCGTGCAAATCGTGCGACTTTATGTTTACTTTTGAACATAATTTTGGGCGTGAGGCTGGTCTTGCCACGGATCAGACTACTGAACATTCTCCCGAGTTAGGTGTTTACTCATCAAATATAATGTGACCCATCAATCAGAGGTAGATATCGGAGATGGAGGTCGGAGGTGGAAACCTGTTTCATGTGTTCCCCTTTCGCTCAATCCATCCACAACCGGAAAACAAAATTTCTAAACAAGATGCCATGTACTCTGTCACTCCTAGAAATTTGCTAAATTGGGGTGGCTTTGTGCTGTCCATAAGGGGAAATGTTAACGGACAGGACTTTGTGTTGTGATTGAAACTCATGTTTTAATGATCAAACGAAAGCAGCGACTTGATACGATATACACGACCTTGATTCTAACGATAAACCTGTGGTACATGGTTGCCGTGGTTTACATCAGGTAGGAATGTTGTTGGTTGAAAAAATAGCAACAAAACCTAAGCATCCCCTCCAAACGAAACAAATGATCTCAATCAAAATGTTAACATACCTATATCCAACATCATTTACAAATTTCACAATGACGCCCCCCCCCGCTTCTTCAGTCCTCATCACAACATGTGCGTGCAGTTATTTTCAGTTTGAATGTGCAGTACCTTCTAGATAGTGAAGGACACTACATGTGCTTACAACAGATTCCATTTCCTGGCAAACAGGTAAAGTCGATTTTGCTTTGTGTGCAAAGTACATGTATACGATGAATTAAGGGATGGCATTTCCGTGTGGGCTGCCTGGTTGTCCTTGATGTCACCAGTGAACCGGTAAAGTTCACGAGTTGATTCCTCTCTCTACAATGGGGGTGAAAGGGAATCATGCATATCAGCCGTCGAGCACAATGCATAATGACGAGACGGCATTGGGAAAGTACCTCCAAAGGCCCGTGATGTCAGTACTTCATGCAATTTAAATATACGGTCACCAACCGATTCGCTCGACTGCGAAGTGGTTGGGTTGAATTAACCGCGCCGACTTGTTTGCTCCCGGCTCATCAGTGCTCGTGTACGGTTGTTCAAGATGGCACTCAAATTCGGGGGAGTTATCCCTACAGCAGTTCATCTGTTGATCATTCTGCCCTGGATGGACCACCATGCCGTTAGATCGCAGCCCATGTTAGATGAAGGGCCACAGGATGCTGCTGTTCACGTTGGTCAAGAAGTTACTTTCGTCTGTGATCTGAGAAATGTTGGTGACTATGGTATCTTTTGGTTTCAACAACAGAGAAATATGTACCTGACCAGTGGTAGACAAGTCAGCGACAATCTACTGCGAAGTGAGCTACGAGAGCGTGTGTCGATAGTTGGACGAGCTGATCAGGAAGAGTTTAATTTGAAGATTGTAAATGTGCAGGTGGCTGATGAGGGTGAATACTTTTGCCGACATGCTTTGCCTGAAGGTGATTATACAAATTCTGGCAGGGCCGAACTTCTTGTTTTGATCCCTCCCACTCCAGAGTCACCTCTGTGTGAGGTTATTCCCCTCTCGGTGAATAGTGATCACTTTGACGTGGGCGATGAAGTGCAACTCCACTGTTACCAGAAAGGTGGGAACCCCCCGCCCGACCTCACATTTTTAAGGGATGGCAACCAGCTGTCCGGTCCTGGCCGAACGATCACCCACCGGTATCTACTCAGTGAAGATGACAATGGTGTGACCTTCACTTGCATCATGACCACACCCGCCTTGAATGAGCCACGTAACTGCTCTGTTATACCACTGAGTATCTCGCCGAGTGCAACTATCTCACCTTCAGTATCCTGGGTTGAGGAGGGTACCTCAGGATTATTTGAGTGTTCTGGAGAGGGTATTCCTAATATTGCCAGATACAGGTGGAGAGTGACTAATGCTAATACTAGAGGCATGCTACCCACAAATAGGTACACAACTGCACAGTCTGCAAATGGACAGTCTTTGGAGATAGTGGTGACTGAGAATCTTGATTTGTTATGCATAGTTAGTGTGCCATCTGGACTGTCTGGTAATGCCACCGCGACGGTTCAAGTTAAAAAGCAGGATATGACGACATTGAATGCGGGGTCAACGGTGCAGACAAGCCCCACGACTAAACCATCGCCGCCCGCTGCTTTTCCGATCGCTGCCGTAGTAATACCATTGCTTACAGTGATGGCGGTGTTTGCAGCCTTCATTGCTCTATGCCTGTGGCGGAGAAAACGGCAAAGAAAGCTGAATATTTCCATCCGATACAAAACGAGTGTCAGGTGCGACGAATCAGATTACGGTGCCCAATCGAGGCGAGACGGCCAAATAACTCACGCTGGAAACGATTTTTCTGCCAGTACAGGATCAGAAGTAGATACCAGTCACATGACATATAACCCTTTATACGCAACGTCAGACAATCACCAGGTAGGACAAACACCGAACCAGAGTTATAGGCCTAACCAGCCCTCATCGAAGCCCAAACCAGACATGCGAGCTGTTACTCGTCAGCAAGACGCTATTGGGAGTCCCGTCGAGTCTGTCGGTCATCCACAGGATATTCCACTTTACTCCACACCAAATAAGAAAGGCAAGGGCTTGGGAGAGCTCAAGTACAGCAATGTACCCGTAGAGGAGCCTGAAGAGACAGATTCCGGGCTGGTGTACGCGGATCTCGACCTGGAGGAATCATCACCGAGCAAAGACATCGATAACAACGGACTACCCCCGGGCTCAGACCAGACCGTGTATGCAATGATTCGTAGTTAAAAGTACGAGCAACTAAACGGCACCCAACGTAGGAAAAACTTCCTTCTTTTCTTCTGTTTCTGTTTGATACTATACAAACATCACCAGATGATGGTAATTATAGCGCATAGGTGGGTGTTGTGGTATAAATGGCGCATAGGTGGGTCTTGTGGTATAAATGGATTTTGTAATGTGCTTTTTTATCAAATCATCCATACTCATTTGATCCAGTCTCTCGTTGAATGTTTTGAAGTCAGATAAAGCCCTGAAGTTTGGGGGTGTTCCACTCATCCCACGAGTTGTACGGGAGTAAAATGAATAGGCCTACTGATAACAGTTATTGTTAAATGACGGAGTTTCGACAATACAGGGTCTGTTTTGCTGTCTGGTGGAGTTTATAATGTGCCCACGACAAACAACATTTTGATGGGGATATGTTGTGAATTCCTTGAAAATGGAGAAGCCTGCACTGATGCGACGACTTGCAAGAGGCTCCCATATTAAGGTGTCTGCAACACTTGCTCTTCTGGTGTAGTCGGTCCAGACAAAGCGAGCAGCCCGGCGTTGGATTCCTTGTTATTGTGATAAGGGATGCGTGAAATCTTTATTGCCGCATACCATATATGGAATCCCACCACCAACGTAAATATAAAGTGAAAATAACAGGAATGACAAATTCAGCCAATCGGGCTAAATAATACATGTATTGAGATAAGGCCGTGTCCAAAATGGTTTTCTGTCGCTAGCATTTGTACAAAAGTCTATGATGGTGGCTGAAACAACTTCTCATAGAGTTGTGTGTAATTTCAAGTCACAGTCGATACACGGCTGTATTCTCACTAAATACGGCATTTAACAACCGATGAAGTCCCAAGTGATGCCAAGGTGTACTGCCTATTACTTCATCGTCCTCAAGGTTGCCACCACAGCTTAAGTTTCTGTGAGATGCGGGAACATAATTTGGCAAAACTATGAAAGGCCGTGGGTACAAATCAAAGAAAAGAATCACAAAATTTTTAAAACGAAGGCTGACGCAAATGTCAAGACACAAAATTATTAATACTTATGGTAAAACTACGTTAAAATTACAACCATTGCAGCACTAGTGATTAAGCCAAATGTGCATTTTCAGTCATAAGTTGTTGCCAACCAGAATGGATTTTCTGCTAACTTCGGCCTTCCATACAAAATAGCATTCAGTTTTTGTAAATACAAAAAAGGCCTACAGTGTGTCAATTGCACTAAATTTTCAAAGATGGCATAAGCCTTTTCCAATGCTTTTCAATGATTTTAATTAAAATCAAATTCATTGTTGCAATAAACAAAACGAGAAACAATATGCAGGTGGTACAAGTTCATTTAGCTACTGATATTGGTTCAACTAAGCTTTTCGTTTAACTTTTGAGGACTGATTTTAGAGGCAAAACAAAAATTGGAACCGCAGAAATACAAAGGCAAGTCTGGAGGCCTAATTATATTTAAGTTTTCCCGGCCAATTTCGGAAAATGCGAAATCTAATTTGTAAAATTTCAATTTTGCGTAGATTTTGAAAACGACTTAAAGCTGGTTTCATTTTCGCAAAAACAAGAATTCGACTTCGTTTTGCATCCTTCGAATAAATGAACGTGTATTACGTTTCATTAAAGAGGTTACAAATACGTGACTGGGATTTTGGATTGACGTATTCGTTGCCAATTACAACAGATGTGCATTCTTATTCGCTGAAAATCTGTCTTTTACCGTGTCCCTTCGGAAGTGAGTATTCATTTTAATTTGCTGTAATTTAAAATCGAAATATATACGTTCAATTCGAATAGAATATACAAGGTTACACAAATCATGGCACCACTTTGATAATAAATGTCATGTAACTCATGAAGGTTATTCAAAATTTTTGAATTTTGCTCATACTGTCATACAATCACAGCTGAGGGAATAAATGTCATTAAACAGACGCCTCTCACACAGCAACACAATAAGAGCCACCGAGTTTGTTCCGGAAATTCGAAGATGACCTTTGCCATCTCTTGACCTTTATCAGTTGTAGGAGCCGGATATGCAGTCCACGTATACTCGTACTGCTGATTCAACTACTAACCAGTCCCTAGTTGACACAGTACAGGTGTAATGGTAAGCCGAATTAGAATTATTTTATGGTGGAGGGCGGAAAACGTATTTGATGGTGATGGAAGAATTACGATAAACGCCCGACTAACATTTTATATAAGGTGCCAAAATTGGTTCACCGCTTAATAAGTACAACCATGGGCGTCAATCGGTGGAGGACGGGGGGACATGTCCCCCACTTCTCCTGAATCTACAG